AAGTTACCAAAAGCCAAATTGCTTAACTATGCAGACGACTTTGTGGTCATCATCAATGGCAAAGGCGCCAGGAACCATGCATAAAAATGCCTAGACATCATCATCAGAGAAGCGGAATGCATAGCAGTGAAAATAAACAACAATAAATCAAAAGCATTGGCCATTAAAATTAATTTAAAATGAGAACTCAAGCCATCAGACTCGCAATACAAGGACACGAAATTGAGTGGGTTACCTCTTTCAATTTCAGTCATAATAGACAGCCAGTTGAAGTTCTCAAGAAATGAAATATCTTTGATAATGTTGTAAAGCCAGAAACTCAGCTTTACGCTCCCTGACTAGTGTTGGAGATGGTGCATCTCTATCAGTACTCAAAATGTACTACATTCAAGCAGTTAGGTCACTCATTGACTATGCTGCTCCTGCTTTTACATCCCTCAGTGATAACCAATGGGAGAAACTGCGATGTCTCAAAATGATGCCCTCAGAACAATGCTGGGAGCACCTGTATGGATGCGTTGAGAGAATCTAAGAATGGAAATCAACTTACAGCCTTAGAAAACAGGATAAAACAAAGAATAGCCACCATAACAGCAAAATTTGTTGGAACCACCACAAGACTGTCAATCAAAGATAGCATACACAGATTGCTTCACAGAAACCTTCAATATAGAACGAGTGCATGGACGGATAATCTTGTCAAGATTCTAGAGAAAGTGGACTTGAAAGGACCATTGGAAACAAAGGGGAAGAAAGACCATATCAACATTTTTGGCAGCCTCCTCCATGGGAAGAATTGAGTCTAAAGATACTCATTGAAGGATTACCAGTTAAAAAATCAACATGTGACTCACAGAGGCTCAAAGCAGTCATTGAACAACAAATGGAAACCATCTCAAGACCTACAACCACTCGCAAATTCACAGATGGATCAGTTGATCAAGAAAGAGGTTCTGCTGGGGCAGCAGTTTACACTAACAACCATGAAGATTACTGGAGCATGAATAGTAGGTGCTCAACAATACAAACAGAATTATATGCCCTGAAGGAGGCCATAAATTATACAAAGTCACCGCAGAGCCAAAGTAGCAGAAGGAAGATCCACTGTGATGTGATACGAACAATCCACTGGGTAATCCTTTTTCAAGCCTGACAAAAAGATAACCAGACATTGGAGTAGCCATACACGGACTCAGACTTATTACAAGTGCTGCTAGGAGGTAATAAACCCAATAGTTAAAGTGTGTCATATCTGTGGAACAGATGCAGAGTAGCCACTATTACATTACTTACTGGAATGTGAAGCAACTGAAGCCCTGTACATCAGACTCAACATTAATCCAATGACAATGAATGCATTAGATGCAAATTCCTCGGCAACGACATTGATTAGAAAAGCAGTTGAAGAATGGGGACACTGGTGAAGATTCTGCATTTACATCTGCTACCAAAATAATGTTATTAACCATTAAAGTGCGCCACATCAATAGATGTGGTGAGTAACTGCCGCACAATTACGTACCATATCTATTGATATGTGGGAGTACCATGCATGATTTAAAAGTCCTGCAGCTACATGGGGTTCACATCAGTTCTCTTGTAAACAGACGCCATTTTAAAAAAAAAAATTGTGGGCAGCATTCCCGGGAGGGAAAGCCCAAGTACCGAGTGAGCCACCAAGGCTGTCGCACGCAGCATGAGCTCACAGCACTGCTGTTCAGCTTGTGACCACAGCTTCACCTAAAAAATGTAACAAAAATATATGTAACTGTTATTATTTAGCCATGATAATATTACAGAAGACCTCTGACTGTGATAAAAATTACCAGGATTCTGATAATAGCAGGATTGTGATAATTTGTGCTGTGCATAGTATGGTAGGAGGAGTAATGTTGAGGGAGGGAGGGCTGTAGCATCGTCTGCCGAATCTGTGTGGCCACCTGTTACTGTCTGCACTCACCATACCAGCTTAGTGATTTGCTATGGTGAACACAAATGTAGATACTTATACATAAAGTGCGTATAGAGTGTAATAACAGCAAAAGAAGTATGTTTGGAGAGGCCATTTTGGTGAGGGAGGTGGCATCATCTGCATGACTTGTCATGCTTTGTAAAGGGTGGCCACTATGCTCTTTGGGCACCATACCAGCTTAGTTGCACAGTTATGGTGAATAAAACATGTAGATACTTGTATGTAATGTGTGTGTATAAGTGTAATAACACCACAAACAATATAGTTGGAGGAGGAATGTTAGAGCATCTGGCCTTGAACCAGTGAGGGAGGGAGGGAGGGAGGGGGCATCAGCTGTGTGTGGCGACCTGTGTTGGTCTGAACTCACCATACCAGCTTAGTTGTACAGTTATTGTGAACAAAACATGCAACTTATTTATAACCTGTGAATATTGTGTAATAACCGCAAAACTATTTGTTTATTGTTTTATTAACATAATACAGGGGTACCTTGGTTTAAGAGTTTAATCCGTTCCTGGAGACAGCTCGTAACCCGAAGCTAATTTCCCCATAAGAAATAATGGGAAATGAATTAATCCATTCCAGACTACCCAAAAACCTCACTTCAAACTAAATTTTATACCTAATTCAACTAAATCTACACTACAAAACTATGTTCAAGTTATTACTTACCAATGCTGATGAATGCTGTAGGCGTATGGAAGATGGTGAGGAGGTGGAAGGAAGAGAGTAGTTACTATTTGCAAGGGGGAGTCCCCTTCCATTATAACATCAGTCGTATCCATATATAAAACCCGATACAAATTTTCCGAGCAAATCCTGCTTGTAACCTGAAAAACTTGTAACCAAGGGTGCTCGCAATCCAAGGTACCACTGTAATTGAATCACTGATATGCTCTCAATACTTTTGAGTATAGCGATCATCACACATTTTATTATATAAATATATCACACTACACACTATTGAATAATATTACTGCAAAAAAAACAAAGAAAAAATCAGAGACATTTTAAATAATAAGGGAATAATATCTTTGTGGCAACTCCCGCCAACTCCCGAAATGGACATTTCGTACTGAGTAGCTAAATCTAAAACAACAACTCTTCCTCACACACGACTTGAGAATGGTCCAGGATGGACTGAAATGTTATCATTTTTGCATCTTGTGGTGTGGTTTGATCATCAGCCATGTTATTGTGACTCATTGTCTGCATTTGATCCCAAGGATGTTTATTGAACTCCCCCAAGCCCCAGAAGCAAAACATGAAGGCTCTGGAGCAGAGCCCGAGTCCACACCTACTACCTGGGACAGAAAAGTAGAGTCCAGAAAAAGGGGTCAACTGGAAAAGAGAGAATCCTGGAACCTTAGTGGGACTAGGTGGCTTAACTGCCTCCATGCTTGAAAAAGGTGGGAACATTACTGGAGAAGGCAGAACCATGTCCCAAGTTAAGTCCTTCCCAGACTCTGAAACCCTCAGATATTTTGGAGCTGAAAGCATTGGGAAGGGGGAGGGGAAAGAGAAGCTAGGGGCACCTCACCCAAAGGGAAAGGAAGAGATGGGGACAAAATCAGAGTGAAACTCACCAACGTTCCCAATTTTGTGTCCCTAAAAATGAGACGGATTAACTCTGGGGCATCCAACTGGGCACAAAGCCACAAATACTAAAGGTGGGCAAAATGAACCTCAAGATAGCAACTGCATTATAAGATTGCACTTCATTTGGAGGATCAGAGAGAAGAACCACATTGGGGAACAAGCCCCATAGGACTCAGGGTCATAGGTGTCACTGACCCGACAGGCAGCATGATAGGGGGCAGAAAGAGGGAACGTCACCCCACCATGGTACAGAAATCTAACAGTCCTTAAACTCTCACAAGGCAAGAGCTGGTATGGAAGGGAAAAAGGGAACATGTTAGTGGAGGGACAGCACCAGGGAGTACACAGGGAGGGGTATCCCTAAGCACACCCTATGAGCCAGGTCCACACAACACAAACCAGAAGCTAACTAAAACTAAAATGTGGAACAACAGTAAGCAAATGATCCCACTTTCTACCTGCAGGACACAGTACTGTACAGGTATAAGGATGGCTGGCATTTAGTTTAGAAGCAGTGGGACCTGTGCAGCGATTTGACAACCTACGAACCCTGCAGAGGACAGCTAAATGAACAAATCCACAAGGGCCATGATGAGGGTTCATCACGGAGACCTCATCACGGCTCTTGTGGATTTGTTCATTTGATGCATCACACTAATGTGATTTCTGTGTGTATTGAAGTGAGGGCAAAGAGGTAGAACAGCTTGTTGACAGAGCCCGAGTGCATGGGGGAATTGTGTAAAACCCTGGTTTGTTTCTTGGAGAGGCTGCAGGATTTGTTTGAGGTCAGTGGAACTCCCGGTTACAATCCTTTTACCATGTCGTGGCTTAGTCGACTTAAGGCAGCGTCTGCGATCATTCCGGGTGTAAGTTCGAACCCCTCATCATGGCCCTTTTAGATTTGTTCATTTAATGCATCTCGCTATTGTGATTTCTGTGTGTATTGACAGCTAAATGTATTTGCATAAATGCCAGAACTGGCTTGGAGCGCCTAAAACTTTAGTTCCCCTTCCCCTGAACTGGCAGGGGGTGGTGGGGGTAGTAGTAACAAGCTTTTACCAGTTTCAAGAGAGCTGATCATTTGTTTACATTTTTGGAGGGAGTTCATTGGTCTGTATTCATTGAGACCAAAGTAGTGAATAGTGGTTTGCTGAGTTTCTGGATGCTTTCCCAGTGTGGTGGCAGTGTCACCTGCTCTCTGCATCTTTGTGAGGAGTGGGGGGGGGGAGGGCACCAGATTCTGGCTATGGTTCCTGGTAGGTCAAACATAACTATACAGCCATTGTGATCTAGTAGTTGGGAGCCATCTCCGTGAGATAGGTTCAGGGAGCCACGAATGATGGCCACAGAATATCTTTATTTCACTCTAATATAATAGTGAATCACCATTTATTTATTTAATAAATTATATTTTTTGTGCCCATTTTAGGCTGAAGTCATCAGTGGCCCAGCCAGCAGCCTCAGAAAATGTTTCCGGGAAGGAACAACATTTAAAGAAGAAAGTTGAGTCCAACAAATCGTTTGTGATGAACATTTACCGTGGCGCAGCTGTGACGGACCAAGCCATTCCCTACCCAGACATACTCACTGCAGAACAGAGAGAGACACTGGAAATGCTTATTGACCCGACTGAAAAATTCTTTATGGTGAGTCTTGTGCTTTGTGCTTTAGGTTCAAATGCTAATGTACCAAATATATCATGTAAATGCCTTTCATAGGAAATTTGCTTGGATGATCTAGTTTAGGACATTATTTCTGAAAGGAGCTCACCAGTGGCTTCCCTGAGCTATCTACCTGAGATTGCTTCATACTGTAACATATATTTATGATTACTTATTTGGTTGATTAGGCACAAAGAGTTTAGTGTTTTTTTTTTTTATTTATATAGTATAGTCTTGGTTACAACAGTAGTTTGTTGGCAATGTAGTGAAGGGCTGTTGTAGTTGAGACAAAGCCTGGGGCACGGAAGAGAGCTGAGTGAGGTTGGCGATATTGAGCTCGGATGCGGGATGAGAGTGTAGAGCGTGGCGCTCTGAATGTGGGCGGAGTCGAGTGTGAGATGACAGCATGGAAGCTCGGTGCAGCCGGAGTCTGGCTATCTTGCTCTGTGTCAAGGCTGAAGCATCTTGTGAGGGTAGGAACTGGACACGTGGAGTGTTACATTGTTGTTGCTGAATGTTGAAGATGTGCGGTATCTCTCAAGTGTCTGCTGAACCACTGTTGACTGACTGATGCTGTTTTTTAGATTCAGCAACTCAGAACAAAAAAGTTCCAAGTAGCATGGGCTATTATGAGCCCATAAGTGGAGGCTCATCTTCTTGAGGTTATCTTGAGATGATTTCGAGGCTTAGCATCCCATCGGCCCAGTATTGACCAGGCCTCCTTTTTATTACACACACCCCCAGGAAACAGCCCGTAACAGCTGTCTTAACTCCCAGGTACCTATTTACTGCTAGGTAACAGGGGCATGAGGGTGAAGGAAACTCTGCCCATTTGTTTCCGCCTCCACCAGGGATCGAACTGGGAACCTCGGGACTACAAATCCGAAGCACTGTCCATTCAGCTGTCAGGCCCGTTGGAGCCAATATCCATCAGTAGCTGATAATACACATCTGGGGACGGATGGGGGGTCTTTAAACTGACTGACTGATTGATAAAGATTAAGCCACCCAAGAGGTGGAACAGGCATGAATAGCCCGTAACTGACTGACTGTGCTGTGGAAACTTATATTACAGGCCTACACCTCATCTGACCATCCTCCACCAGGTTGGGAAGAAGTATTAACTGTAATTAGTTGACTTGGGAAGATGTATTAACCCTTAAACTGTGCAACACTGCATATGGAGTTTTGAGCAACTGACGCAAAAGTGCACATCACTGCATATAAAGTTTTGGAGTACTATGCAAGATTTAAACGGGCCGCGGATACACAGGGTTCACATCGCTTTCTTCAGGGCTCTTGTAAACAGGCTCCATTTTTTTTTAAATCGTGGGCAACATTCCCAGGTGTGAGGGCCTCAGTACTGAGTGAGCCACCAAGGCTGGCGCACGCAGCATGAGCTCACAGCATTCCTGTTCAACTTGTGACCACAGCATCGCTTAAAAATGTCAAAAATGTATATAACTGGTATTATTTAGCGATGATAGTACTGTATTACAGAAGATCCCTGACTGTGATATAAATGACCAGGATTCTGATAATAGCAGGATTGTTGTAATAATTTGGGCTGTGCTGTGGGAGGAGTAATGTTGAGGGTAGGAGGGCTGTAGCATAGTCTGCTTAATCTGTGTGGCCACCTGTTGCTGTCTGCACTTATTATACCAGCTTAATAGTTCGCTTTGGTGAACAAAACATGCAGATACTTATGTACAACGTCTGTATATAAGTGAAAATATATAAGCAAAAACAGTAAGGTGGAAAGAGAATGTTGGTGAGTAAGGTGAGGTGAGTGGCTGGCTGGTGTGCCAGCCACTCCTGCTTTTTGACTCAGCATACCAACTTAATGGTTCATTATGGTGAATAAAACATGCAGATACTTATATATAACGTGTGTATATAGTGTAATAACGGCAAAAGGAGTGTTGGGAGAGGGAGGTGGCGACATCTGCATGACTTGTGATGCTATGTAAGGGTGGCTACTATGCTCTTTTTGCACTATACCAGCTTAGTTGAACAGTTATCGTGAACAATACTTGTAGATACATATATATAATGTGTGTATATAGTGTAATAACACCACAAGCAGTATATATTTCTCTCAATGTTTGCTGACGATGCCAAAATTATGAGAAGAATTAAGACAGAGGGAGGACTGCTTGAGACTTTAAGAAGACCTAGACAAGCTGAAAGAATGGTCGAACAAATGGTTGTTAGAGTTTAACCCAGCAAATGTAATATAATGAAGATAGGTGTAGGGAGCAGGAGGCCAGATACTAGGTATCATCTGGGAGATGAAATTCTTCAAGAGTCAGAGAGAGAGAAAAAGACTTGGGAGTTGACATCACGCCAGACCTGTCCCCTGCAGCCCATATCAAGAGGATAACATCAGCGGCATATGCCAGTCTGGCCAACATAAGAACGGCATTCAGAAACTTGTGTAAGGAATCATTCAGAACTTTGTATACTACATATGTCAGGCCAATCCTGGAGTATGCAGCCCCAGCATGGAGTCCATATCTAGTCAAGGATAAGACTAAACTGGAAAAGGTTCAAAGGTTTGCTACCAGACTAGTACCCGAGCTGAGAGGTATGAGCTACGAGGAGAGACCACGGGAATTAAACCTCATTTCGCTGGAAGACAGAAGAGTTAGGGAGGACATGACCACCACATTCAAGATTCTCAAGGGAATTGATAGGGTAGATAAAGACAGGCTATTTAACACAAGGGGCACATGCACTAGGGGACACAGGTGGAAACTGAGCTCCCAAATGAGCTACAGAGATATTAGAAAGAACTTTTTTAGTGTCAGAGTGGTTGACAAATGGAATGCATTAGGAAGTGATGTGGTGGAGGCTGACTCCATACACAGTTTCAAGTGTAGATATGATAGAGCCCAATAGGCTCAGGAACCTGTACACTTGTTGATTGACGGTTGAGAGGCGGGACGTTGAGCCAGAGCTCAACCCCCCGCAAGCACAATTAGGTGAGTACTTGAAGGAGGAATATTAGTGAGTGTGGCCTTGAACCAGTGAGGGAGGGAGGGAACATCAGTTGTGTGTGGCCACCTGTTACTGTCTGCTACCGTCACCATACAAGCTGAGTGGTTCCCTATGGTGAACACAATTGTAGATGCTATATATATATATATATATATATATATATAGTCTTGTATATTTTATAACCTTTAAATACACAATAAAGGAAAAAAAAAAAAGGGAAGGGGGTGGTAGGAGAAAAGCACACAGAAACTGTATTGGAGGGGACCTACATTCCCTATGCGTTATGTGTGGTTTATATAGGCTATGGGTCCCCTTCTTCCAGCCATAGGTGGTACTCCCTTCCCTATATATAAAAAAAAAAAAAAAAAAAAAAAAAAAAAAAAAAAAAAAAAAAAAAAAAAAAAAAAAAAAAAATATATATATATATATATATATATATATATATATATATATATATATATATATATATATATATATATATATATATATATATATATATATATATATATATATATATATATATATATATATATATATATATATTATATATATATATATATATATATATATATATATATATATATATATATATATATATATATATATATATATATAAATAACCTGTATATGTATGTATGTGTGTACTCACCTAGTTGTGTCTGCAGGATCGAGCATTGACTCTTGGATCCCGCCTTTCGAGCATCGGTTGTTTACAGCAATAACTCCTGTCCCATTTCCCTATCATACCTGGTTTTAAAATTATGAATAGTATTTGCTTCCACAACCTGTTCCTGAAGCGCATTCCATTTTCCCACTACTCTCACGCTAAAAGAAATCTCCCTAACATCTCTGTGACTCATCTGAGTTTCAAGCTTCCATCCATGTCCCCTCGTTCTGTTACTATTCCGTGTGAACATTTCGTCTATGTCCACTCTGTCAATCCCTCTGAGTATCTTATACGTTCCTATCATGTCCCCCCTCTCCCTTCTTCTTTCTAGTGTCGTAAGGCACAGTTCCCTCAGGCGCTCCTCATACCCCATCCCTCGTAGCTCTGGGACGAGTCTCGTTGCAAACCTCACAACGAGTGTGTGTATGTGTGTGTGTAATTACCTAAGTGTAGTTACAGGATGAGAGCTACGCTCGTGGTGTCCCGTCTTCCCAGCACTCTTTGTCATATAACGCTTTGAAACTACTGACGGTCTTGGCCTCCACCACCTTTTCACTTAACTTGTTCCAACCGTCTACCACTCTATTTGCGAAGGTGAATTTTCTTATATTTCTTCGGCATCTTTGTTTAGTTAGTTTAAATCTATGACTTCTTGTTCTTGAAGTTCCAGGTCTCAGGAAATCTTCCCTATCGATTTTATCTATTCCTGTTACTATTTTGTGTGTAGTGATCATATCACCTCTTTTTCTTTTGTCTTCTAGTTTTGGCATATTTAATGCCTCTAACCTCTCCTCGTAGTTCTTGCCCTTCAGTTCTGGGAGCCACTTAGTTGCACGTCTTTGCACCTTTTCCAGTTTGTTGATGTGCTTCTTAAGATATGAGCACCACACAACCGCTGTATATTCTAGCTTTGGCCTAACGAAAGTCGCGAACAATTTCTTTAGTATATCCCCATCCATGTATTTAAATGCAATTCTGAAGTTAGAAAGCATAGCATAGGCTCCTTGCACAATATTCTTTATGTGGTCCTCAGGTGATAGTTTTCTATCTAGAACCACCCCTAGATCTTTCTTTATCAGAATTCTTTAAAGATTTCTCACTTAATTTATAGGTTGTGTGGGGTCTATGTTCTCCTATTCCACATTCCATAACATGGCATTTATTCACATTAAATTCCATTTGCCAAGTGGTGCTCCATATACTTATTTTGTCCAGGTCTTCTTGAAGGGCATGACAATCATCTAAGTTTCTTATCCTTCCTATTATGTTAGCATCATAGGCAAACATGTTCATATAATTCTGTATACCAACTGGTAGA